ATGATGATGATTAATAGTTATGATAATAATTTGAAGAAAAAAAAAGATAATTATCCATTTAGACAAAATTAATAGATTACATTTTATAATCATTATAACCTAATCAAACATAATACTGACTGATTTATAGAACTGCAGCTATTCAGCAAAAGACAACATCTGCTTGGTGAACAACAATATATCAATTAGCTGGTGTCTGATTGTCTATGTAATTATGGTGATACATACTATCATCAAGTTTGAAGTTCACATCTCTAGGGGTTCTCGAGATATCGCGTTAACGAGAAAGTGAGACGAACATCAGGCGCGGATCCAGGATTTTCCAATAGGGGGGGGGGGGGGGGGCCGAAAATTTTAAAATCGCACAGACCGATATTTCAACTTAACATGCCAATACTGACAAGGTCATAGCACCTTACCGGTACCTACAAGCGGGCACAATTTTGGAAAGGGGGCAGGCTCACGTCATGTATCTTGTCCGATATCAACATCCGCCTTTTTTTAATTTATGCTTTTTTTCCTCTACCGCGCGAAGCGCGGAAGCTTTGACATTTCATTAAATAATTAGAGAAAGAAGACGATTCATTGTACCGTTCCGACTCTTAGTTCATGTTTCGCCCCTCCCGCGCGAAGCCCGGAAGTTTTGACGTTTCATTACATCATTAGAGAAGATGACGATTCGTTGTACTGTTTTCGACTCTTAATCCTTGTCTGGTTTCGTTTCCCCCTCTCCCACGCGAAGCGCGGAAGCTTTGACGTTTCATTGAATTATTAGAGAAAGAAGACGATTCGTTGTACCGTGTCCTTGTCTTATTCCAGATTCCCCCCTCCCGCGCAAAATGCAGAAGCTTTGACGTTTCATTAAATTATTACTCTTATTAATCCTTGTCTGAATTCAATTTCTCCCCTTCGCGCGAAGCGCGGAAGCTTTGACGTTTCGTTTATTTTTTGGAGAAAGAAGACGATTCGTTGTACCGTGATCTTGACTGAATTCAGATTCCCCCTCTCCTTTTCATTAAATCATAAGAGAAAGAAGACGTTTCATTGTACCGTTCTCTACTCTAAATTCTTGTCTGAATTCAGTTTTTGACCCTCCCGCGCGAAGCGCGGAACCTTATGTTACCCTTAACTTGTCTGAATTCATTTTCGCCCATCCCGCGCGAAGCGCAGAAGCTTTCAGGTTTATTTAAATTATTACAGAAGAAGGCGATTCGTTGTACCGTGTCCATGTCTGAATTTAGTTTCCCCCTCCCGCGCGAAGCAAGGTTGTTTTGACTTTTCATTAAATTATAAGAGAAAGAAGACGATTCATTGTACCGTTCTCTACTCTAAATCCTTGTCTGAATTCAGTTTTTGACCCTCCCGCGCGAAGCGCGGAACCTTTACATTACCCTTAATTTTTACTCTTAACCCTTGTCTGAATTCATTTTCGCCCATCCCGCGGGAAGCGCAGAAGCTTTCAGGTTTATTTAAATTATTACAGGAGAAGGCGATTCGTTATACCGTGTCCATGTCTGAATTTAGTTTCCCCCTCCCGCGCGAAGCAAGGTTGTTTTGACGTTTCATTAAATTATTAGAGAAAAAAGACGATTCATTGTACCGTTCTCTACTCTAATTCCTTGTCTGAATTCAGTTTTTGACCCTCCCGCGCGAAGCGCGGAACCTTTACGTTACCCTTAATTTTTACTCTTAACCCTTGTCTGAATTTATTTTCGCCCATCCCGCGCGAAGCGCAGAAGCTTTCAGGTTTATTTAAATTATTAGAGGAGAAGGCGATTCGTTGTACATTTTGACTCTGAATCCTTCTCTGTACTCAGTTCCCCCTCCCGCGCGAAGCGCGGAAGCTTTGACGTTTTATTTAATTATTATAGAAAGAAGACGATTCGTTGTACCGACTCTTATTCATTGTCTGAATTTTCAAAAAAAATTCTCTGTCCCTTAAAAAGTCACAGTTCGTAGGGGGAAAAAATGCCGGCCGACCGACATTATACATCTCACCGACTTCAAGCTTCTGCATTGATATTGTACACGACGAACGAGCAAAAACTATCGACACTGCGGACCCGACACAGCAACATAATTATCATGCGTATCTTTCTTACTCCCTCGACGTGGCGACTCCACCCAACGTCCCCCTCTCTCTCTTACTCCCACCCCTCTTCCCTCAGGCTCTTACCTACATCTCTCTCTCTCTCTCTTTCATTCTCCGTTTCTTTTGTTTCCTTTTTATCTCGTTTCTTCTTATTTTTCCTTTTCTCCTTTTGTTTCTTTTGTTTCTTTTCCTTCTTTCTTTCCTTTTTCTTTTTTTCTTTTCTTTTTTCTCTTTCTTTCTTCTCTTTTCTTTCCTTTCTTTTCCTTTTCTTGTTTTGTTTTGTTTCCCTTTCCCCTTTCTTTTTTCCCCTCCCCTCTCTCATTTTTCCCGACAGCTGGGCAATTTTACCGACAATATCCTGACAGGTTGGGGAGTCGCACCCCCCACTCCAATAACGTCTCCCAAGCCTTCGGGAATGATCCCCGATCTCCCGATTACAATTATTTTGCTCCTCTTTGTAGGGGCCGGGCGCGGCTTCATCATGAGTGCTTTTACATGAACCTTTTTAAAATAAATATGTAGTGAGCACAATTTTTTTTTTTGGTCCTCGAAAATTTTAAAATTTGCACCCCCCCCCCCCCTTGAGCGCCAGGGAGGGGGGGGGGGGGCCCAACCCCCAAAAAAGGTAAAAATCGCGTGATTTTGCATGATTTTTTTTCTCAAGGGGGGGGGGGCGGGCCCCCCCCCCCCCCCCCCCCCCCCCCCCCCCCCCCCCTGGATCCGCCACTGCGGAGGAGTATATTCTTTGTATTTTCCTTGGTCTCCCTGCCCGTGGAGACTTTGCGTGTAGAGACGAGTGAAAATATAGTTTGTGTTGACCGCGCCGTGTTTTGTCACTTTCATCGCGCATCTATTAAACCTATCAAGCACTGCGATGACAAAGTTTGTTCAGTTCTTTGAGATTGTCATGGATGATTTAAGTATTTGCTCTAGATGTCTGATTGGATAACAATAAAAAGATTGAGTGGCTTAACTTTCTGGATATACCATTATATTGCCCTCACAAGACCCATATTGCCCTCGTCTATGACTCGGGGCAATATGAGTCTAGTTTGGGCAATATAATTTGTATCTTCCTCAAGGCCAGTCAATATTATATAAATATAACCAAGGTGTATTAATTGTCAAATACATATCACACCCTAACCATCTTACCTGGTTGCGTTTGAGCAGCTGAAGATACCATCAAGAGAAAAAGGCATGTAAGAAACACGAAATCCATATCTAGTCCTTAGAGAAGACTGTTGTAGTCCTTCCTTCCTCTTGCGTCTGGTCGCTCAATTACAAACACATATTTGTGTACAGAAAAATATCCAATTGCTGATGATATAAAACAAACTTAAGAAATTGCCTCATATATCATGAAGACTGCTGGGAGGAATACACTGGCAATGAATCGTAATGCATGACGACATAACATTGCTCTCCCCAAACACAAATAATTTCGATGGGGACAATGCACAAGAATACAATGTGATTACATTTTGTGTTTGACGTTCCTTATAGACCTAACAAAATATGCACAATAGACCTGACTGTAATGAAAAAAGAAAAACATACAACGTGATTTTATTTTGTGTTTGAACTTCCTTGTAGACCTAATAAAATATGCACAATAGACCTGACTGTAATGAAGAAAGAAAAATACACACGAAATATGACTAGAAGTCTAGGATAGCCTTTAAAAAAATATTTAAAAAAAGTATCAATAAGAATCTGATGTGAATATTTTTGTCTGGGGACCGACCTACGTCACCACCCGAATCCGAAAGACGTGATTCAGTTTCGAACCTGCGTCCTCGGCTAAATAAGTTTGTAACTTCTATTATCTGGATTACAGGCGCACGCCACAACGCCTTTTTAAGCGTTTCTTTCCAAAGGAAACACCACACGGGGAAATATAACATAAATTTGTTTTATTATTAGAACACAGGGAAAGCCATTTCATCACAACCTTACAATAGATTTGCCTATTGACTCCATAAAAAACATTCACATTATCCTTATGTCATAAATATTATATTTTTTCTTCAATAAAAACAAAAGATTAAATCTATGTATTGTTGTATTTCTGTTAATTTTTGGTTCAGTATTATAAAGTTCATAATCATTATTGTTATCATCACCGTCATCATTATCATTACTATTATTATCAGTATAATTCGTGGTTTAGATGTTTACATTCGAACGGAGTCGTCATTTTCTTTCATGACTACAACTGCAAGTTGAACCCGTTTCTAATCATTATGAATCTTTCAAGCGTGTCCAAATGCAGTATATGGGGGGGGGGGGGGGGGGCGGGGGGCCTGTGCCATTGAAAAAAAAACAATATTTCGCCTGAGGGCATTTCATTGCTTGTGTATTTTCGCGGTGGAAATAAAAAGTAGATCGAACAGAAAACGTCTGCTTCCGATGTTCATGTTCATTTGTTTAACACCATTTTGAGGTCAAGGGCAAACAACCGCAAATATTGCGGAAACGATTCAATACTAAAAAGGGGTGAAAAGAGCGAAACAAAACTATGACTGTATACAGATCACGTTCAATTTTATAGAACATCATTATATTTATAAGTTAATTATAGAGTTATGATTATAGAGTTATGATTATTTATGCATTATGTTATATTTTATCAATCATACAAATCGTTAAGGAAATGTATCAACATGGCTTGTTTTACCTAGCGAAAAGAGAGGTATATATCGTAACATAATCATATAAGTATAACAGGGAGACAGACAGAGAGAGACGAGAGAGAGAGAGAGAAGAGAGAGAGAGAGGGGGGGGGGGAATAAAACTGTTATAGTATTATGTATATCAATATCATGAATATGGTAGAGTAGTTGAATAGTAAAGGTTGATCTTCCTTAGAACACGAGAGCTTACACTATGAAATCTTTCTTGGATATTTGGTGGCTCTGAAAAGAGCCGTTTATCTGATCTGTCCTGTAGATAAGTCAACTTCTTAAGCAGACTTGCTGGTCTTCTTGGGGAGAAGGACAGCCTGGATGTTGGGGAGGACACCACCTTGGGCGATGGTAACTCCACCGAGAAGTTTGTTGAGCTCCTCGTCGTTGCGGACAGCCAACTGCAAGTGACGGGGGATGATCCTTGCCTTCTTGTTGTCGCGGGCGGCGTTGCCTGCGAGCTCGAGGATCTCGGCGGTCAGGTACTCGAGTACGGCAGCCAAGTACACTGGGGCACCAGCACCGACACGGCCGGCATAGTTGCCCTTCTTCAGGAAACGGTGCACACGGCCAACGGGGAACTGAAGCCCTGCACGGGATGATCGGCTCTTGGCCTTGCTCTTTGCCTTTGCTCCTTTACCACGTCCAGACATGTTGATTTAGTTTTGGTATGATCGTTGTGAATGAAACGAATGAATTTTCAAAGTTCGCGGCCAGCTATTTATACCCTCTCCGAGGATCCGCTCGTTCCGTCCGCGAATCAATACAGATCATACACAATAGTCCAGTCCACTCTGGCGTATCGACAACAGACGGTGTGTTTGCGGGTCGGACACCTCATTTACATATACCGCCAATTTCAATATCTTTTGTGTGTACGGTATTCCCGCCACACTACACTAACCGTCCTCCATAGAGTTTTAGCTGTTAGATACACAAATGTATGTCAATTGACCTGTACACAGAGCCAGCAATACACACAGTCAGGCCAGCGCGGGGTTTCACTTACATGGTCAAAAACATATGGCTTACATTATACGGAGAGGCCGTTGATCTTGGCGGGGAGTGACCCCGGCGCGACCCGCACTGAAAGGCTCTCCGTTACCGAGCTCTCTAAACAAGATTTACAAGGAAGTAAAAAGACACATTACAAAGTCAGGCCTTGATAAAATAGAGTATATTATATGATATCATGTTTACATCCTGTTCTGTGTGCATATAATGTGCGCTGGCACAGAAATTTACATCTCATTCACTTAACATTTTTGGATTTCTTTTAAAAGACAGTTTACAAAGAGAGGGGAATAGACAATTCGAATGAAAGAAACTTTGGGTATATAATGAACATGTTAATGTAATTTTGTATTTCATTTATCTATCTCTTTGGTATATCAAAGTGAAATCCAACTACCACATACATCTGATCTGTGAATTTTGATGTACACCAACTCTTTCTGGTTTCTTTTTCTCTCTCTCTGTTTTCCCTTTTACCAATATTTTTTCCTCCATATTTGCATTATCATGTATCCATTCAGGGCAGACATGCTATCAAGCTTTGCTTACTTTGTCAACCCTCCTGTAATGTTTTCAATTAGTTACAGCCAGCCTTACTTTATTCTGCATAATTATATTCTTTTGGCATGTGTAAAATTTACAATGTTTTGTTTGTTATAAATTTGTAAAAGTGCAACAGAAACAGAAAATCAAACAGAAATAAATAAATCAAATCAAATCAAATCAAAGTTATGAGAAAAAGTTGGGATATGTAAAGTAAACCAATCTTTAGTCAAGGACATCGGAATGATGTGAATTTCGTGTCTCATATTAAAATAAAAGTTACCCAAATTGTTGTTTTCTTTCAACTTTTCAAAGGTGAAGAAAGCCTTTCCAAACTTGTGGCTTTTTGGTCAATTACATAATGGTTTATATCTAACGCATCGACATGATGAGTCTAATATTTTAAATATTAGGGCTAAACAGTTTTACTTAATGGTGTGCATGCAGAAAAAAGTCTTTTATATACAATGCTTGGCAGCAACAATTAGCACTGACCTCCAATTGTAATTGGAATCCTGTATTAATGTTTAAGTTTAATGCTTAACGAGATACAAACAGGATCAAACATAATGTTAAACTTTTGCATATGTTTTTACCGTCAAAGTTTATCCTACATAAAAGGAAAACTAAACAAATGATTATGTATGTGAACTTTGTAATACCATTGAAACATCATGGCATATGATGCTAGAGTGTAAAAAGATGTGTCTTGGAAAATGATAACAAAGTTGAAATTTCCTTTTTTTTAAATTAGATACTTGATAATGAGAAGACTTGAGTATTTGGATATGATCTAGGCAAGTAAGATAATTACTTGGTAAACACTTTGATTGATTTTGCTGAATATTTTATTCATAAAAAGTTTAACTTGTCACATTCAAATTCTAAACGAAAAACAAAGGTTATTGAAAAACAGGTACAGGCTTTTCACATTCAAATTCTAAACGAAAAACAAAGGTTATTGAAAAACAGGTACAGGCTTTTATTGCTATGCTGCTTTTATACATGTAGATGTTGTGAATGTTGTAGATATGTGAAATAAAGACCCCCTATATATCTTTCTGGTTATCACCCCAGGCCTTTTTCTCTTTTTCTCTCCCTGGTTATCTCCCCCTGTCGCTTTCTTTCTCCCCGAGTATGTCCCCCTGTCTTGTTCTCTCTCCCCGAGTATCTCCCCCGTTCTCCTTCTCTCTCCCTGATTATTTTCCCCTTTTCTCTTTCTCTGTTCCAGAGTATCTCACTCTCTCTCTCTCTCTCTCTCTCTCCAAGAGTATCTGAACCTTTCTCTTTCTCTTCCCCTGATTATCTCTCCTTTTATCTTTCTCTCTCTCTCTCTCTCTCTCTCAGTATCTTCCCTTTTCTCTTTCTCTCTTCCAGAGTATTTCACACACTCTCTCTCTCTCTCTCTCTCTCTCAGTATCTCACTCTCTCTCTCTCTCTCTCTCTCTATCTCAAAGTATCTGCCCCTTTCTCTTTCCCTATCCCTGAGTATCTCTCCTTTTCCCTTTCTCTCTGTGTGAGTATCTCCCCTTTTCATGTTTCTCTTTCTCTCTTTCTGGTTATCTCGCCATACCTTTTCTTTTTCTCTCTCCCAGAGATCCCATGTTCTCCTTCTCTCTCCCTGATTATCTTCCCTTTTCTCTTTCTCTATCCCTGAGTATCTCTCCTTTAATTTCTCCTTCTCTTTTCTTACGTATCTCCCCTATGTTCACCTCTCACACACTGTTTTCATAATGGCGGTATCAATTTCTTGTATCATTTCATCGCCATAGGAACGAATATCTACATAAACAAGAGAAGTATGACAGGGTGTATCCATACATTTAACCAAAAAGGTCATTGACAGTAAAACAATGGATTATATTACATAGTCTATGGAGACTCAACTAATTACACGTTTAATATGAAACGATGGATTGTTTAACTGTTATGGATTGTTTAAATGTCTATTTTTAAAAAAATGTGATATTATTCTAGCCATCATTTCCAATTCAAGACGGTCCTTTCTTTTTCATTAAGTTATTAGCTAGTATTTTGTAGTTTTCAACTATTTATCCGATACTTTAACGTTAGAAACGCTGTCTCGAGTACAAAATTTGTATCTTTCTTGAATATTTGGTGGCTCTGAAAAGAGCCGTTTGTAGTAGATATGGCGTGAACCAATATTTACTTGGAGGTGGTGTACTTGGTGACAGCCTTGGTGCCCTCAGAGACGGCGTGCTTGGCCAGCTCTCCGGGGAGGAGGAGACGGACAGCGGTCTGGATCTCTCGGCTGCTGATGGTGGCCTTCTTGTTGTAGCCTGCAAGGCGGGAAGCCTCACCGGCGATACGCTCGAAGACATCGTTGACGAAGCTGTTCATGATGGACATGGCCTTGCTGGAGATACCAGTGTCGGGGTGAACTTGCTTCAGAACTTTGTAGATGTAGATTCCGTAGCTCTCCTTTCGGCGCCTCTTCCTCTTCTTATCTCCTGCTGCACGGCTGGCCTTTGCCTTACCGGCCTTCTTCGCTCCCTTTCCACTAGTCTTGGCAGGCATGATGATTCGTTAGTTATATCGATGAGATCAACTGACTGGCCATTTCGCATCGAGTGGTATTTATAGCAATCCGAGCCCCGTTGTTTGACCGCTGAGCGCCCGGCACGTACGCCCGGCACTGAACCGCGAAATGCAAATGAGGTATAATCCGGGCCGAAAATTCGGGCGATCGATAGTTCAGTATAGGCCTATTCCTTTTGTCTCTTGGCGCCTTTTTTTATTTTCTAAAAGAAGTGTTACGTCACGGCTACCTCGCCCCAAAATGAGGAGATGTCCAGTCGTTTTACTACAGCTATGATGACTATCAGAAAGTCTACGAACTCTTGTTTTAAAGTAATTTCCTGGGAATTCTTTGAAATAGGCCTATACCTATACAAACCTGCACCAACGAATGTATAGATTATGTTCTGATAATACATTCACATTTTGTTTGTAAACATAATTATATAATGATAATGTCGGGCAATTTAAAGTCTCACCTCCCTGTTTGGATACACTTTTTGTTCACTCCTTCGCCGAGGAATCTTTACAAGTTTGTCCTAAGGTTAACAAATCGCCCATCAGAAATACGATCATATTATAAAAGATTGATAATCGATAAATGTAAACATATTATGGCAAATACTTTACCATCTAAATCGCATAAATTAATGTCTTCTTGTATCTATCCTTGAGTTTAACACTTCAAAGTTCAAGTACAAATGAAATGTTCATGGACCTTAACTCTGAGTAGTAAAGTGTTTGAAATTCCCGGGACCAGTCATATAAAGCCTGATAAGAATCACAGAATATTTGTCAAAAGCAATAAAAATATCATCGGCGGGGCTCTGATCATGCTTAATTCGTGTTTTTGCTCAGGTTAATTGCATCTGAACAGGTTTGAAGATTTTGTGCATAACTGCTCGTCTAAACTACACTTAAAATCCTTAAAGGAAAAATACACGTACTCCACCTTGTGCCTATCTTGATTAAACTCACTTTACTTGCAAATAAAGCATAATGAAGTGTGACATTAATTTTTGTAATATTTTCCTTTGGGTTATGAAAACCATATACAATACAAATGGGTGAAAATTCAACATTTTTACAGAAGGAGTGACATAATAATATTTCAATTAAATTTCAAAATGGATAAATCTTTTCGCATTAAGAAGCTCGTGCATTATGGTACTAGTTTTGTTACAGTAATAAAAACAAATCGTTTTCTTGGAGTTTCCATTTGAATCAATTGACATGTCAGAAGCGGATCTAGAGGGGGGTTGGGGGGGTTGCAACCCCCCCCCCCCAAAAAAAAAAAAAAAAAAAAAATCCGGGGACCATTTTTTTAAATCTTATCTTTTTTTTAAAACTTGTAATTTTATTTTATTCTATTTCTATGTATTTATTTCATTTATTATTAATATTATTATTATTATTATTATTATTATTATTATTATTATTATTATTATTATTATTATTATTATTATTATTTCTTTTTGGGGGGAGGGGGGGGGGGGGGTTGGGCGAACAAATGTCACAGAGTCCCTTGCCCCCCCCCCCCCCCCCCCCCATCAGCTTTTTTGAGGACACGGGCCACCGCCGAAGTGACAAGCTAGGCCAGCGTTGCCGATTCTCATCCCCCAAATCCCCACATTAAAAAAAAAAAAAAATGGGGGATTGTTGAAGTCTTTGGGGATGAAAAATAAATATTTGGGAATGAAAATAATATTGAGTTTTATGAAAAACGAATTTGGGGATTTTCTGTCAAAATTTGGCAACTTTGGGGATATTTTGAGTGTCGTTTGGGTGGGGATTTTGTGAAGATTTAATCTGGCAACGCACGCTGAGCTGGGCTGCTCATTTCCTGGATTACTTGTTCAAGTTGCTCACTTTTTTATCAGTCTGGTCTGAGTGTAGTGACAAGCAATATGGAAGCAAACAGGGCAAAGAAGTTGCGGCAATCCAGTCTCGCATCTTTTTTTACTGGAAGGTATGTTTGAATCATGCAAAAAAGTTGGCATACAGGGTAAATTACCATACATGGGGGTGTAATACGGACGTGTTCATGCACTGCTTTTTATGGTCTCCATTGTGTTAATAGATGCCAGGAAAACATCACTTACGGGGTTCGAATAAACACCCCAATAAAAAATCGGCTCGCCGCTTCGCGGCTCGTGGACGATGCTCCGCATCGTCATTATTGGTCAACCCCCCCCCCCTTAGCAAAAAGCTAGATCCGCCCCTGCATGTGTTGTTAAAATATTATACATAAATTTATAGTTGAATTAAAGTCAAGTAAGTATCACGAACATATTTCAATTTAAATGACCAAAGAGGACCCCACTTAATAGAAAGTAGTAGTAAAGTTTTATTCCAGAAATCCACCGCCCCCAGATGGTTTTTGAATTGATTTTTATGAATTCCGTATAGATATATTTTTACGGTAATACAATGTATTGATAATTCAAAACTATTCAAGTTCAAATTAGGATATATTATTGACCTATGTTTGTAATCATTATCATTTTAAATTTTTAATTATAAAGTTGTTTACCATATATTTTATCAAGTGCCTCCACCTTTGTTGTATAGCGATTCGTACTTTGGCATATCCTAAGTGCGTAGCAATACCAACAGTCACACTATGATTGTGCCAAAGTCCAAGGTAATCCTGCCAATTTTTTTTCTATTGACCCCAGGGAATAAATAAATAAATTTCAGTGTTTAGGAGGTCATTAACTAATGCGCCAAGTAAATTTCGTTTCTTTAACGATGTTTGTCAGATCTGAGTTGAACTATTTTCTCTGATAAACGATACCGTCAGTACACCTTCCACACTATGCATACATATTTGTACATTCATTTTGCTTCTTAGTCTGCCCAACTTTTCAGCTAAACTCCGTACTCCATATTTGTTTTCTAAGTCGAATGATAAAAAGTATACGATAAAAAGGGAGACTTAGATAAGTACAGTGATATAGTTTGTCATATCTCTAAGCTAAAGGAGAGGGGGGGGGGGGGGGGGGGGGGTGGGTAGTCTGCAAGCACAGACCCTAATTTGACACTTTATCAACAAACTATTGTGCCTTGAGAGAAGCCTAGCCCAGCTACCTACTGGTTGTGTCAGGAGCAGCTTTAGTACATGGCCTATGGTATATAGTACATACTCTCTTTTACGACTGACCAGGGGGGGGGGGGGAGCTCAGAACATGACCGTTTGTTTATGCCATCAAATAATATAAGGAAGATACAAATAGACCGAATATGAAATGCCCCGAATAGTCCTTTTGTTTTCAAACCAATTCAATTTTCAGTATGAAGTTTCAGTTCGGCTGTACGAAAAAGAAAAGAAAAAAAGAAAAAGAAAAAATAATCAAATTTCTACTGGCGTTGGGGGCCCGGACGATGCAAGCTGAGTGCTTTTTCTGAATATACCCCAACTCTATGGAGTTATGGACCTACGTTGTCGGATAAACTAGTATTTACTTTCACGGTGATACATAATATTATCGTCACTTTTATCATGCAGAGTGCATAAGTGGGCGGTGTTGTTTGTCTTGGCTTGCTTGAATCGGTGCATAGGACCTGAAGAAGTAACCAGTCTTCTTTTCCATATTAAACGTAAGTAAAACTGTTACGTTCATTAACTTTTAACATTAACATTTGAGAAGATAGAATTCGAGGATTACTCGAAAGAAAAAAAATGACAGATAAAGAAAAAGAGAGCGAGCGACAGAGGAAATATTGATTTGTAGAGCGGCCTAATGTAGGTTTATATAGAAAGAACGGGAGAAATAAAGGTCGAGATATGAAGAAAAAGAGAATAGAAAGAGGAGAGGAAGAGAGAGAGAGAGAGAGAGATAGAGAGAGAGGAAATATGAATGTGTGTGGGGGAAATGCTTGAATGTGATTGTGTGTGTGTGTTATATAAATATAGAGAGAGAGAGAAAGTAGAAGAGAGAGAGAGAGAGAGAGAGAGAGAGAGAGAGAGAGATTGAGAGGGCATATTAATTAAATATGATCCACAATTTTATCTAGTAATATCTTAAGCTGCAGTCTGCATTTATACGTGCGTCAGTGTAATTTTTAAATTGTATGTAAGCATAATGAAGACGTGTATATGCATTCATGTCTATATTATATAGATGCACTTAAAGGCACACTGTCCTACTTGTAGCTACTTGCTCCCTCTATATAGAAAACTTCCCCAATCGGTGCCTGTTGGTCCCCCATGATCCTCTTTTTCTTATGTTAAATGAGAGCTGAGTTAATGAGATAGCCACCTGTCACAGTAACCTCGCTGGCTCGCTGTGTGGTCTAATCCCTTCTGGTTGAAGTAGTAAAGCCTCCCTTTAAGACATGCATCTGAACTTTAATGCCTACATAATTTGTATCTAAAGTCTATGCATATTTGCATTAAATACACCATTGACCTACTATGAATGCCTAAACCTGGAAAGTTAAAAAATGTTACAATCAGAATATTGATATTTATCTAAAAAAAATCATCTATGAACAGTAAATTATTATACATCTTATGAAAGAGGGTTTTATCCCAAATCATTTGGTATCTTTTATGTGTGGTATGTGTTCACGGTTGGATGAACAGGAGACATCGTATAAAATAATTAGCTATTGTCTAGGTGTTAACTTATTTTTGACTCACACTGTATATTGTTTTGTATAAAATAAAGGCCAAAGTGGAGATACACAATCTGCAGGTTTTGATTTGAAGCATGTATACCAGTCGTAGGCAACCCAAAGGTGACTGTTTTTTCTCATTTCGTTCGGGTTCGTAAACTTCAAGTATCTTGCCGAGGAGGGGCAGTGGTGTAGCATGAGTCCACCCATCGTGGAGGGGGGGGGGGGGGCACTATGCCCATGGGGCATCGGTCTCTTTGAGAAAATTATATGCGCATTTGCATTTGTTACTAATTAAGGGGTGGGTGATTGCATTTGTCCTCTTCTTCCTTAATATTTCTCTTTTTTCTTGATATTTGTTCTTCATCAAATGATGGGGGGGGGGGGGGGGTGGGGTGCAAGCGCCTCCAACTACACCACCCGAGGGGTGATAAATCCCGGAAGTTATTTTGGGGAGGGTGACACTTTCCACGAGGACCGGTAGTCATCCTTTGGTTTACATAGTACGATTATTCGATTTATCGAATCTGCAAATAGGTGAGAGAATATAACCCAAAACGATCATAAACCAAAGTTTAATCGAGTTGGCAGTGCTGTTTAAATATTAAATAACAGTGCAAAAGGTCTGGCGGCGGAATTGCTATAACTACGCACAAACTATCCGTATCAATGCTGCGCCTCCATATTGTGCTTGCGTTGAGTTACAGTATGGTGGTCTCAGCAGGCGCGGATCCAGGATTTCTTAGGGGAGGGGGCCCAACTTTTTTTTGGGGGGGGCTCCCGAAAATTTGAAAATCGCGCCGGCCGAAAAGTCGCTCAGTGGGGGGGGGGGGGGGGGGGGGGGGGGGGGGGGGGGGGGGGGGGGGATCACATTTTTTTTTTTGACCCTCAAAAATTTTTCAATTTGCACCCTTGAGCGCCAGGGGGGGGGGGGGGCCCAACCCCCAAAAAAAGGTAAAAATCACGTGATTTACATGATTTTTTTCTCAAGGGGGGGGGGGGGCCGGGCCCCCCGGGCCCCCCCCCCCCCCTGGATCCGCCACTGGGTCTCAGAACGTAGATAAATCGCAAGGAGATTGAATATTTCATTTTTGAATGAAAATTAGAACTTGCATCTCAAGTCGCAAAGTGGCTGCATGACCATTTAATATTGATAATAGTATCGGATGTGCGCACGTATCCACATGCATGGTGCTCAAGGCGCTCCAACTAGTTACCCCAGCTCTGCGAGGCAGCCGATTTCGGCGCTCACAGTATTCAAAGAATTCTACCTACCGGTACCCATTTAACACCTGGGTGGAGAGGGGAAATGTAGATTAAGATCTTGACAAAGGATATTAGTGCAGTGCGGAACTTGAACCGCGGACCCTGTGACCCACAGTCCGGCGACTTATATCCACTAGACCACAACATCTATAATCTATAATCGGCGATTTTTATGCTTAACTATAAAAGAGATTTTACAATTCTTCCCATATGATATTACACACACCAGGCATTTGTCAAGATGGCTCCTCAAATCGTCCTTATGACCGGTTGTTCGGCCGGAATCGGTCTCGCCATGGTTCAACGTCTCGCTCGAGACCCCGATCAGCGATTCATCATCATTGCCACGGTGATTGCGATGTCGGAGAAGAACGACCTCGAAGCTGAAGTGAAGGACGAACTCGGTAGTAAAGTTTTCATTAAAGAGTTAGACATCACAAAGGATGAAAACATCACTGAAGTAGTCGCGGATGTCGTCAAGAGTCATGGTCGTATCGATGTCTTGCGTAAGAAACATTCCTGAATCTTCTTCTTCTTCTTCTTCTACTTCTATTTCTTCTTTTTCTCTTCTTCTTCTTCTTCTTCTTCTACTTCTTCTTCTTCTTCTTTTTTCTTCTTCTACTTCTTCTTTTTCTTTTTCTTCCTCTTCTTCTTCTTTTCCTTCTTCTTCTTCTTTTTAATTATGATTATGATAGTATTATTATTATTATTTTTTTTATTTTTTTTATCACTTCTTTATTCAGGGTAGTCTGTTCAGTTTACAAAAATAAAAACTTCCACAGAGCTTCTTTTTATTTTTCTTCTTCTCCTATTTATTTTGATTTCTCTTATATTTCTTTCTTTCTTTCTTTTACTTCTCCTTCTTCTTCTTCTCCTCTTTTTCTTCTTGATCTTCTTTTAATTCTATTTTTGTATTTCTTCTTTTTCTTTCGTTTTTACTTTCTTTCTTCAACTTCTTCTTCTGCTTCTTCTGTTGTAGTTTTTTTTTTCTCCTTCTTCTTCTGTTTATTCTTCGTTTTCAAATTGGACCTTGCCAAGTGTTGTGCCCAGGCACGTACGCCAGGGGGTTAACCCCCCCCCCTTTGAGTTTTTGTATGTGTATGTTATGTGTATGTTATTGGGAAACCCCCCCCCCTTTTGAGTTTTTGTTATTTCATTTATTAATTTATTTTTAAATAAAATAAAAAAATCCTTAAAGATGGCCTTACCCCCTCCCCCCCAACGGAACGGAATGTCGATGGGTCAAAATTTCAAATTTCCAGACCACCCCCCCCCCCCCCCCCCCCCCCCCTTGAACAAATCCTGCGTACGCCACTGGTTGTGCCGGGGAAATACTATACCCAACCTTTATTCCGAACTTAATAACCTTGTTCATAATAGTCTAGAGTCTTGCCGTTTCTTATTTCCATCACTTGATTAAAGTCGCCGAAGATGGCGCTATGGACGAACTCGTACTAGTGTCCCATAAAGGGACACTAACTCGTACGCCCACAAGCCCTATGGCCTAGCCTAAGATATTTTTTTTGCCGGGCGTCCTAATTTTATGGATCACGCCGTTTATGGCTGTCAGTGAGTAAATTTAGAGGGAGTTCGCATTGCGTTGGCGTGTCGGCCGTGGAAGTCAAAATTAAATCGGCGAGATTCTGGACTAAGATCATATAATTATGTTACCTATCCGCTAAATAGTAAAGAAATAATGCGCCTCCCCCACCCTCATTTTTTTTTTCAAGTTCATTATTTAATGACTGCAAATTACTGACTGTCCTTTTTCAGTTATTTCGCATGAGCCCCCCCCCCCCCCAACACCACCGCCTCCACCGCTACAGCTATCATCACTATCATCACCACTTCCACACCTACTACCAGCACCACAGCTACCTCTACACCTCGACCACTACCAACACAACTACTGCCACCATCACCACCACCATCACCATCCCCATCAGTCGGACCACTACCACCATCACTACAACCACCACCGCCACCACCAACACTACCACCACCACCACTGGGCAGCTATAACTTCCACCAACCACCACTGATGTTAGAACATGTCATTATATTGTTCTTCATATTCGTGTGTTCGGGTTGAGCTTGAGATTCAACTCATCCTCACACTTGATTTTGTGTGTAATTATGTTAAATAACCCCTACCACCACTTGCAACACCCCCTCCACCACCTCCACCACCACCACAACCGCCACCACCACCACTTCCCTCCAAACAAATATGAAACAAATCAGGTTGCGCTATTAAATGGTTCGACGAATGCAAAGCAATTTTTTCCTCCTTTTTTTGTCTCTATCATGTTTATAGTCAACATTGCCGGACTTGCTATCGTCGGAATTCCCGAAAGGATCACGCGGGAGCAGATCGACAAAGTCTTTAACGTGAACGTGATCGGGACGATGAGACTTACCCAGGCAGTGCTGCCTCACATGAAAGAGAAACAATCGGGAAAGATTATCACTTTTTCTAGCGTGGCAGGCAAGATCGGTGAGTTTGTAATTAGCGTACAAATCCTCCGTCTCTTCAAGTTTCTCTTTTATCCTCTCTTATCCTCTCTCCATCTTGTTGTGTCTCTCTGTCTGTCCCCTTCTCTCTCCCTCTCTCTCTCTCTTCATCTCTGCCTTTCTCTAACAATCTCTTTCGACAATGTTCAATCAAAGCTTATTCTTTATCAGTCTTTCCGTTCCACACCATGATCACATACCCTTATCCTCTTTCTCTCTCTATATCTCTCTCTCTCTTCCCAATCTCTATCTTTCTTCTTCCTTCTTTCCATCTCTCTCTCTCTCACACACTCTTCTAGCTCTCTCTATCTCTCTCACTCTGCTCTCTCTCTCTCTCTCTCTCTCTCTCTCTCTCCCTCCCTCTTTCATTCCATGCCAACCATCCTTACCCCCTCTCTGCCTGCCTCTTTTCATCACACCCATCTTTTTTCTTATCGACTCCTCCAAGCCAGCATTTGTCTTTATACTATGCTTACTTTAATTGGTTATTTCGAAAGAAAGGGGAAAAAATGAAGAAGAAAAAAAAAAAGCAGAGAGAATAATACATGAATAAAAAACAACATATATGATGATGATGATGATGATGGTGATCTACATCACTTGCATGGCGCCATTGATCTGTTCAAACATTCGAAGGCACCCGCTCCTCCAATAGTCATGGACTACACATTTGCTTGAAAAGCTTTCTAGCTTGTCGGTGTCTCGAAGAATAGGAGGGAGGGAGTTTCAGGGGCGAAGAGCGACTGAAGAGAAGGCACGATCACCATGACAGTTTCACCCCCTCCCCCAAAGAAAAATGTAAAAGTTAAACACGTACATGTTACTTCGTTGGCCTTTTAAATTATTTCCAAGTTCTAATCAATACATACGAAATGAAATTTCATAAATTCTGCCTTTCAACGTATTATGTATTTTTGTCTCTCAAGTTGAACTTGTTGACATTTTTTAATGTTTGTTGTGATGAATAAGCAGAGCCTTTAGATTAATCCATTACTTTGGGATGTTTCATAACAGGTGCTCCTTACCTTGAATATTACTGTGCAGCCAAGTTCGCCGTTGAGGGCTTCTTTGAGTCTCTAGCAGCCTGCGTAAGGGCTTTCAACATCAGGTGAAAAAGCCCTCAGTTAAATCATCACGTAACTTTATAGCCGCAGTCCTCACGCACGCCCAAATTTTGAGACCAAATTTGAGTTCAAATTTTGTGACTCGGTAACATTGTTGAAGGTTGATGAAAAATAAAATAAAAATAAAATATTAGTTTTATATTCCTTTTATTGTAATACTCTAACATAAATCCTGAAAAAAATTTCAAACCAGAAAAATAGTTATGGTGTTCTTTGAAGGCGACACTGTGCGACACCTTGTAACAGTAAATTCTCCCGACAATTTCTGAATTTTCGCAACCGTTTCTCCATAAAAATGAGACACAAGACAAACTTTTACAAATCTTTCAACACTTAAATGTCTGAAATGGCATATAGAGCCAATTCATTGCTTTGTGACGATTTACATTCTCCTAAAATGTAAGTTATTTGTAATAATATAGTTGGGAGAATTCAGAAATCGATCAGATCAGTTTTTCCCAATTTTTATCATTAATAATGGTTTGTTTTCACTCAAACTTTCAGATGATCTATAATTTTACATCTAACATTGAAAATACTACCTCAGCACAATTTGCTCTCATCTAAGCAATGTCACTAAGTCCCTTTAAGAATTTCGGCGTTGTAAATATAACAGCGCATTATGCAATGTTCGCACGCATCTCTGTACTGTACTGTGCTCACGTACGTACTTACTCATAAATACTGCAAAAGAATATTGAAATTGCCTAAGCTTGATATTTAAAGTCTTTGCGAACTCATTATATTATATTTATCTACGAAATCAATGATCTTCAACAGCAACGTTATGTTTGAATTCTTAGAGTATGTCTGATTGAACCGAAACCGGTCCAGACAGCCCTTTGGGATGGGATTCAGAACGACATCAAAGCAAGCGCTGCCGATGAGTCCGTCTCCGACATCGACCGTCGCCAGCTTCGAAACCTGCTCGCTCGATGGGACGTTACTTCAGCCCTGACCACTGACGACATCGTCGAAGCTTTGATGACCAGGTGTGTCGACGTCGACGAACCCGTACTCAGGCACATGTTCGCTGGAAAATTCAGTGAGGTTATTCAGAAATTCGCAGGGGACATGACCGGTGAATCCGGCCTTGCTGCTCTGGCCTATCGTCGATAAGTGCTCTTAAATAATTGTGAAAATAATTTGAAAAAAAATTACCCAGTCCTTGCTCTGTAAAATGTTGGGTTAAACGAAAGAGCTTCCGTGATGAAACTGTAGAACCCGATGATGGTTATGTGTCCTCACTAACATAGGACAATCTCCTTTTTCATACAAAAAATTGCAAAACCGAATATTGTAACGGTTTTTAAGATCACAATTCCCCTGGACCATGGTCCATGGAAGTCCCTGACTCTTCACATCTATTTGGGGCAGTAGGGTTTCACACCGTTTGGACAATTAGTTCCCGTCCTGATCCACACCGTTCACCCTGTAATTTGCTTATATGTGTTTGTTTTATTTTACAATGTTTAGGATTAAAGGAAATTCAAAGTTTTTGTGTGGGGTCATGAATTTGGTTCAAATGAACATATTGGAAGCAAATGCGATTCTAAAATGTTCAGTGATCGTTGTCGCGGTTAAAATCGAGTCTTAAGTGATGAAATACACCAGTTTACAGTTGTGTGCGCCATTTTAATTGGCGAGTAAACAAAGCCAATGACCTAGAGGTCATTTGGTTTGTGCGTAAATTAAGATTGCGCCCATGCAAATTATGATGTGAGCGCACAGCGCAGCGCGCAGGCAGTGATGTTATCATAATTTGCATGGGCGCAATCTTAATTTACGCTTAGCCTAAATACCACTGACGTGACCTCGGGTCATTGGCTTTGTTTACTCACCATTTAAAATGGCGCCCATGTCTGCGCATGCGCACTGATACAACTGTAAACTGGTGTATACACCAGTTTACAGTTGTGTGCGCCATTTTAAACAAAGCCAATGACCTAAAGGTCATGTTTTTATGCGTAAATTAAGATTGCGCCCATGCAAATTATGATGATATCACTGCCTGCGCGCTGCGTTGTGCGCGCATATCATCATTTGCATGGGCGCAATCTTAATTTACGCATAAATACCACAGGTCAGAGGTCAGTGGCCCCGGAACAGGGCCAATTTGGCCCTGTTCCGGGGCCACTGACCCGAGGTCAACTGTCTGCGCATGCGCACTGATACAACTGTAAACTGGTGTATTGTACATAATAACCTCTTAATGTTGTATAGCTCCCTCTCAAGGTCAAGATATTAATTAAGCTATAAAACATTGTTTCTTGACTACAATTCATCGATTTGCTTTTTTCCGTTTGGAATTTATATATCACAACTACTTATTCTGAAATTTTCATGGTCGCATCTACCATCGTATGGCAGTAGCGCTATTTGAAATTCATCAAAATTTACCGGGAGCACCAGTAAATTTTTATATTCAATTTTTCTCGAAAGCAGAAGTGTTGTAGGGGCTAATTTTTTTAGTGCTGAGAAATAATCCACATGGGCATCCAAATATATCAAAATTGTAAAGAATCACTGCTAGCAATTTTCAAAATTTACCAAAACTTTGCATTACCTTTAATGTAAACGAACACGAGCGTGAATCTTTAGTTTACAAGATTCCACAGGAAACAGACAGCCTCCAGAAAATCTAAATCAAAACCCTGGAGACAGTGTACTACTTTTTCTCTTGTTATCGATGTTTACCTATAAATATGTTTACCACTCAGGACAGTGCATTTTCGAGACTAAGCCTCGTATTAAAGACGCAATTAATTAAAATGAATTATTATGATATTCATATATCGTGTCATGTAATTGATAACCAACAAAAATAACACGAAAATACCATCTGTTTATGTCCATTCATTTTGTGTTGGTCTTCTAAACAATACCTATATAAATCAGTTGTACGTGCATGAATCATGAAGAGCTCGTTTTCATTTTAGGCCTTCCCTGCTGGAAAGAATACACTCATTCACAGTCATTCACAATGTAAATCACACAGTGTTTCACAGTGTGCTCCACAATGTTATATTGGGGCGTTTTCACATAGTAGTCGATTCGTTTCACACTGTGGGTCACAGTGTGGATAACCGGAAAAGGAAAGAACACACTCATTCACACTCATTCACAGTGTGAATCACACTGTGTTTCACACTGTTTCACACTGTGTTTCACACTGTTATTATTATTATTTTATTAAGGAGTTTAAAAAAGTCCATCTTGGGTCATTTTCAAGAAAAAGGGTACTTTAAAAAACATCCTGTTGCACACGTGTATGGGTATTTTTCTAGCCCTCAGGGCCAGACCGGGGAGAAAAAAAAAAAAGGGGGGGGGGGTATAATTGCCCATTGGCGATATGTACCGGCCGCCGCCTGCGTCCGCCGCCCCAAGGTCTCAGTCAAATGTGAATACTGTTAGCATGCTTGTCTATAGAGGGGGGTATTTTCTTTAGTTTGGACGCGGTTTAAAGGGGTTAAAAAACGTCCACTTCCAAGAAAATGGGTGCTTTTTCAAAATAATGCTGTACGTAGGGGGTGTAAACAGAGATTGCATACTTAATCATATTATCTATAGAGTAGCCAAATTAATATTAGCAAAATAAGTGACCATTATGTTTTTGGATATATATATATATATATATATATATAGTAGATAAAATGCCGAAGATACGTGGCTGTATGCAAACGAGTTCATACACGAGTCCGGAACTCAAGTGGAAACACAAATTACGCATCCGGGTTCCTAACGACCTTTGCCTTTCGGTGATCCGATATTTGCTTCGGCAAAATTTAAAAATAATAGCTCGTTTTTTCACATTTTCTTTATTGAATCAATCCCATAGAGTTGGAGTTGTAATTGTAGATGGGCCTGAATATGGGTTCGGGTTGGGATTGAAGGTTTAATAGTGTTTGATTCTTAGTAGGTCCATGGTTTGAGCCAGGGTAAAACAAATCACGGGTTCAGTTAGTATGATGAATTATTTAAACAGCACTGCTAAGTCGATTAAACTTTGGTTTATGGTCATTTTAGGTCGTATGCCCTTTTGCTGATTCGACCAATCGAATAATCGTACTATGTGAACCAAAGGATGACTTCCGATCCTCGTTGAAAGTTTCACCCTTCCAAAAATAACTTCCTGGATTCATCACCCCTCGGGTGGTGTAGCATGGGGGCGCGTGCACCCTCTAAATCATTTGATGAACAAATATCAAGAAAAAAGAGATATATCAACGAAGAAGGGGGCAAATACAAGAAAAGAATACGCCTTAATCTCCTCACCCCCTATAGTAGCATCGTAAATGCGCATAATTTTCTCAGTGAGACCCATGCCGCCACACGGGTACAGTGCCCCCCCCCCCCCCTCCCCGATGGATCGACTAATGCTACACCACTTCCCCTCACCAACAGGATACTTGAAGTCTACAGACATGAACGAAATGAGGTGACCACATTTACTTTTATACTGCTTACGACTTGTATACATGTCATGGTACAAATAAAAACATGCAGATTCTGTATCTCCAGTTTGGCCTATACTTCGACGTTTTATATAGGCATCGTGTATCTAATGCAAATATGCATCGTAACCAAATATTTTAGCACAAGTTCAGATGCACGTCTGATATAATGTATAGAAGTGCATCTATATATCATAGACATGAATGCAAATACACACCTATGCTTTTATATTATTCGAAAATTATACTGACCCATGTATTAAAAGTACTATGTCCCATTTGCAGGCCAAAAAAATGAAAAAGTTAAATTCCAACTGCATTTGAAAGATAATACTAATTAAGAGCTTCCCTAAAAAAGGTGGGGCTTAAAACATGTCTTCAAGTGGGAAAATAACGACTATTAGTTGTCAAATCGACTTTAGGGCTATAGAGCCAAAAAGTAATAGTCTTGATTTTCAGACAATTGTACCGAATGGTCATACGTTTTATGCTGCGCAAAGATTCAATCAGTTTAATCTTGGCCATCACAAGAAGTGGGTTATTGATGTAGACAAATGCTCATCTACCCTTTACAACTCTTTTCATGTATGTTATTACCAAAGAAGAAAAAAGCCAGTCAGTCACTCAAGTGTCTGACAGTGAAGTCTAGCAAGTAAATGGGTTTCCTTGCATAATTTGAATATGAGGACACTGCTAACGTTTAAATTTCACAGATAGGACATACATGACATATTCATAATTCCTGCAAAGTTCTACAGCATTTGAGGTTGGCTGCAAAAGGGACATAGTACCTTTAAAGTAGACTACAGCTTATAATATAACTAGATGACATTATGGATAACATTTAATTAACATGCCCTCTCTCTCCCTCTCCGTGCCCTCTCTCTCTTACTTTTTCCATCTTTCTCTCTCCCTCTCTCCATTTACCCTTCCCGCCCCTTTAGAGTCGAAACGAAAAGACAATCTTTCGCCACCCCCCTATCCGATCCGCCCATTAACTTAAAGCATGGGGAAATCCTTATCTTTGGGAGGAATAGAAAGAAAATGATGAATCAAAATACTGGCCTCACAAACACCAAAAACACATGACGAAGTTGCTAAATGGCCTTAATCAAATAGTGATTTTCATACGCAGTTAAAATTTTAGTGAACATGTTGTTTAAAAGTTTAAACAACTTTGGATTAACGGGTGACCTGATCTAAGAGTTGTTTAAAATGTTAAGCAACTCGAGTTGTTTAAAGTTTAAACACTTAGTTGATCAACATTTTGAACAACTTGTTTAAAATCACAATTTAAACAACCGGTGTTGTTTAAAGACGGTTGTTTAAAACGGAGCTGTTGTTCAGTGGGGGTTGTTTACACCAACTGGGTTGTTAAAAGAAAGTTGTTTAAAACGGAGCTGTTGTTCAGTGGGGCTTGTTTACACCAACTGGGTTGTTTAAAGAAAGTTGTTTAAAAAGGAGCTGTTGTTCAGTGGGGGTTGTTTACACCAACTGGGTTGTTTAAAGAAAGTTGTTTAAAAAGGAGCTGTTGTTAAATAATAATAATACTATTGGATTCTTATATAGCGCAAGGTTTTCAAGGCGCTCCAACATTACCCGGCTATGCTAGGCTGCCAAAGGACATTAGTGCCGCGGCGGGACTCGAACCGTGGACCTTGTGATCGACAGTCCGGCGACGTTTCCACTCATCCACGACACCTCTACAGCTTGGTCGGCCATGATGTGAAACAAAGCTTTTAGCCAACGCGCACTTTACTGGCACGTGACACATGACGTCATATGTAAACAACACTGTCTAAAAGCTCTCGTGTAATAAATATAGCAGTCATTACATTTTAAACAGCGAATGTTTAACAAAATTACTTTCGTTTCGAGCAACATTGTTTACAATTTGTTCAACTGTTGTTTAAGATAGTGTACAACTGTAAGTGAACATCACTTTTTTAAGCAGCGTTTTTACTGTGTAATGATTCTTGTGTACTGTAAGATATCATAGATTTCGGGATAATAGACCGATATCCTGAATGTTGTTTGTATTTGTTTCTCTGTTTTTTCTGCAGTTATC